AACATGCAACAAAATCGGAACAAGCACGTTCCACAACGCTAAATAGAACGCAGGTCGTAACAAGATCGGGAACGGCCCCGAAATATCCGGGTTCGACCCCGAGATCGCCGGAAATGAGCCACCAACGGTGGGGTATAAATACCCCACCAAGCCTGTCACATAGAAAAAAGGGGGAGGACATCATCAAGACCCAAACAAAGAACAAAGATCATCAACAGAAACTGTAAACCGAGATAGAGAATCCACAATACCGAACATCAACAGAACAACAAGTTCAAGCAAACATCGAACCAACAATGAGAGAGCATCATCGAGTACACAGTGAATCAAAAACGCAACCACAAGCCAAACCCACAAACCGCAAACACGAAAAATAACCAAAATCAAAAGTCAGAGCAACAATCACTAAAAAAATAAATAAAAAAATCGAGGGTTACTCGGTTTTTTTTCACCAAAAGCACGCAAAGGGCTAGACCAAACCAACGGTTACCGGAAGACCAAGAGGCGCCGGCGAAAAAGGGGCGAGGAGGTGAGCATTTTGGAAGGTTTTGATTTTTCCACGGCGGCCGGCAACGGCGGTCGTCGGCGACGGACGGTGGTCGGTCACCCCCTCCGGTGAGGGGCTAGAGAGGGGCGAGAGAATTATTTTTTCTCTCATTCTTAGAGAGAGAGTTGAAAGGGAGCAAATGAGGTATGTTGGTCCATTTTGGTCTTTAAAAGGTATCTATATATGTAAAATGAAACTACGTCGTTTTGGCCTTTACCCTCAGCGTGTTTCTTATTTGGGTATAATATCACATATAGTCCCTCTTTCTTTGTAAGTTTATTGGTTGATCACCCAGTGATATTTTTAATGTTCTGTTTTGGTCATTTCATTTCTCTCGTTCACGTTTTAGTCCTCTATTACATATATTATTCCATTTGATCAAGGTTCGAATTTGGGAAGTAATATTTATAACTCTTCTATTTCAGTCCTTTCTGTTTTTCTATTTTTCTCTTCACTGTTTTAATTTAATCTTTCTATTTTATTTTATTACTTTTTATTTATTTATTTTTTCAAAATAACCTTTTTATTATTACTTTATTTTGTGGGTATTTTATTATTTCCTATTATTATTATTTTTACTAACTCTTGTTTATCTTTGACATTTATTTTGTCATTATCATTATCATATTAATAAACACATATATGTATATATTTTATTTTTCTTTGTTCTTCCTTTATATTTATTTTTATTTTACCATCTAATGTTCTTTTAGATATTTTCAGTGATAATTTCAACCAATCAAGGGTAAGTAATTCGGATCGAATAATTTAAATTTTAATTTAAATTCTAATTTTCGCAATTAAAGACAACTGATAAATTAATTGGTACCGAAAGGGCGGTTCAAGGGTTCTAATCCTTACTTGACCGTAACCGACTTCCGAACCCGACACGTTTCTGGTACAACGCAGATCAGGTAAGATGGTGTCCAACCCACCTAAGTTCGTTTTAAAGTGGTCGGTGGCGACTCCAATCCATATTTTTCAAGTCGAAGCCAAATTCCGGGGCCCAACCGAAAGATGGTTACGACAATACGATATGAATTATTTATTTTAAATATCATAATGATCGTATTGGAAAATATATAGAGATAAGTACAAGCCTTTTAACTTGGAAGGTTTACAATAACCATTATTCAAAGTTTTTAGGGTAAAGTATACAAATGATCCTCCAATTATATGATATTATTTTATTGAGTCATTTGACAATTAAAAGTTACAAAATCGTCACCCGATTATTCATATGTTTCAAACTCACCCTTTTCTGTTAAAAATTAACGGTCATTTGAGGTAAATGTTTACTTCCTGATTAAGATATGATTAAATATGACCCTAGAATCTCAAACGACTATACAATTCAAACGGTTCTGGTATCACATTTTATCATATCTCAATCAGTAGGTTACGTTCAACTTAGATGATTGTCAATTTTTAAAAGAAAATGACAAGTTCGGAATATATGAATAGTCAGGTGATCATTTTGAAACTTTTAGTAGTCAAGGGACTCAACAAAGAAGTTCCCTTATAGTTAGGGGACTATTTTATAACTTTTAATAGTTAGATGACTCAACAAAGCAACACCTTATAGTCGAGGGACCATCTATGTACTTTACCCATGTTTTTATTGAGGGAGAGGAGTATTAAGGAAAATATATCGTAGTTGACATGGTTTTGCAGGGGCCTATGATAGTACCATTTTTGTCTGGAAATTGATGTGGACAATTTCGAATTGTATTAACCAGTTGGGAAGGCGATGTTGGCCTATTATAACATAAACGAATCTCCCATAATTGCACTACTCCAGTGTTTCAATTTGTTTTGCAAGCAATCTCAGGTAAAGCTTGTGTATGGCTCTGGACTTTGTTTATAACCTGTTCAACCGTATAACTATTTCTTCGTGTAAGTCTCATAACTAAATTAATCAAAGTAAATTTAGAGATTATGTTAGAAAGATGAATTCTCAATTATTTAATCTTGAACATTGTTGTATTTGTTAAAATATAAATTATAAATATGTATGTACTAAGATAGACTGAGGGGTGTTGGGGTGAGATCCATTATTTTTTAAATTCATATATGGTTTAGATATTTTCTTTGTATTTTCTATTATTTATCTAATTTCGCATCCCAAAGTTCTTAATAGAACTTAAATTTGCACCGTTTGACATGAACTCTTGTATCATGTGTATTCACGTGATGCATGAACAAATTGGATTTGACATGCTAAAAAGTAGAATGTGGTATTAAAACTTTATAGGTTTTTTTCTTTCACTTTTTAATTTGTTTCTCAGCAAAATGATTTTTATTAATCGAGCCTAAGTCAAAAGGCTCGTTAAAAACCTCCCTAAAAATAAATGGGAGAAAATAACACTATTGACTCGGGGCAGAGAAACAAACAACAATAAAGTTTCAGCCACACAAATGCACCATATCCCCTGTGACCATACAAACATAAAGTTGGGATACACGTAGGCCACCACAATATTATTAACATCACGTTGCATTGAAATATAATCTCAATCTAAACCACAACAACCTGTATGAAGTCCTTCGATCCCGCTAGCAAATAAGAAAAGACTCCCTATCTACATAATAGCAGAATGCAGTAAAAGAGTCCACACAGTAGGAATAGGACGCCTCCCATGCAGAAAAGAGTGAAGAACTAGGCTGCTACAAATAGGACAACATTATAGATCATCACAATAAAAACAAATCAAACAATCACCAAAAGCAAAGGCATAACAATCTCTAAGTCAATCCGGATTCCGCAACGTTCGAATAAGTTACCACCATGTTTTAAACATAATACTCTGATACATTCCTTCCATTGCTTGATGATGAGCCAAAGAAGAAAGTTGCCAACTGGAAGTGGAGAAATGAACATCTTCAATGGAACTCACCAACCTCTCGATCTTAATTAAGCATTGCCACCGATTCCACAGCCTTGATCCCACATCCACTAACCACTTCTACACTGTCTGTGAAGGCAATATAATAATTATCGTACCCTTCCTTGACCACTTGGCATTAATGAAAATCTCCAAAGCTTTTTTAATTGTTGTCAGCAATGCTAATTCTATGTTACCACCTACGACCATCCCAGAAAAGGTTGCTCTCATCACATTATCCTGACGTGACAACTCGTGAGGCGACAGGAATGGTGTTTGGGGCGGTCCAGTCACTCCATGGGCATCCATTCAACAAAAAGAACCCAAACCAACTCTTATTCAAGCTCAAAAACAAGGTGAAACAAAGAAAATAAGTGGTCGAAGTTCTTAACCAATTACGACGATGAAAGATTGATAGTAAGGAGATGAACCCGGTTGGGTTTTGGTTGGAATCAGTTAAAGATTACAATGGTGAGGGCGGTGAGGCTCTTGGACATCCGTTGTGGCTTGGATCAAGGAAAAACAGCAAATCGTTGGGTTTTCTCGGGTTGATCTTCGATCGGTTCTCCATAAATGACGTGACGATTCAACAATGATGGTTGGTACGGGTTTGCTTGCGGCGGTCTAACGCGCCTGATGGTGATGGCCGTGACAACCACCGACGAACGATGGTCGAGATCAATGGTGTGTAAGCCGAAAAGCCTCTCCCTTATTCGCGATGAATGGTGGGCTGCTAGAGGTAGTTGACGGTTGGGGTTTGGTCAAGGAATGACGCCGGTGTTGAAGACGATGACGGTGCACACCACGATGGCTGGAGCGGGGATAAATGACAATGAAACAACTTTGAGGCGATGGAGATTTATGGGAGTTTGGGTTTTTCACGAGTGAGCGGGAACTGATTTGATACCTTTTTTTGGTATTTGGGTTAACTTATTTTATTTGGTTTAAGAGATATTTCTCAAATCTTATCTTAGCTACTGTAGCCTAGACTAAATGTTGAGGCTTTGGTTTGGTTCTGGGTTATTACATGTTCAAGTCTCCTCACACGCAAAATTTTATTGCCTTTACCCACAATATCTCATTTCAGCAAAACCATCAAACCAATGTAAGAATGAACACCAATCTATCCAGGCTACTTATATATGTATGTATCTCGTGTTCGTGCATTTTAGGATATACGTATGAGCATAATATCCTCTAAGGACCCTCCAACTACATTAAGAAACTATCAGAATACCCATATTCGACATGTTTGACACTCACATACGAGAACGAACAACGTAAAACAAGACCTCTGCAAGAATGTAATCCATTTACCTCTAAAACAAATAATTGAGGTCCAAAATGAAAATGATTTCACACAAAAAGCTCTGGAATTCTGACTCTTCAACGGAAAACAAACATTCAAAACCATGTAAATTCTCTATATACACACAAAAGCTCATGTGAATTATTATATATATGCAGAGAAAATAGAACAATTTCTAGAAATATCCCACAAAGGAAACAAAACCAAACCATTGATGTTGTTTCATTGGATCTAAAGTACAGACAATAACACACGATCATAACAATACCAACAATAATAGTTCCTATATTCAACTTGAAATGACATTCAACTATTGGGGACATTGACTTCTATGAAGCAAAGTCAAGTAGGAAAAACACTCCTAGTCTAGCATATATACGCACCTGCAAATCATAATATGCAGGAAAATAGAACTGTAGATAGGAGTTAACAATTAAGCAAATCTGTATGGAGTAATTTTGCGCATCCACTTAAACAATAAAAAGTAAACAGAAACCGAAACAAGTCAACATTATCTGAGAATATCACAAGACAATATAGTTGAGATAAAGTTCATATCAAGAGACCAAATCCCATTAAATCTTTCTTTTTTTGTAGTTCCTTATCCATCTTTGTCTTCAATATTGATTTGACGTGCCTTCGTACTCTGGAGGTCGTCGTATTATACATTCCTCATGCTCTAATCTTTCATTCAATGAAATGAAACTCTCAACATAAGCAATAATGTGCATTGTTTCCTTATAAGCGTGAATACCAAGATTTCTAAGCTCTTGTATGGAGGGATCAAACAACACCAGTTCATGATCAGAGCTCTCAAGAAACAATTTTCCATTTTTCCAAAACCCCAAAGGCCTCTCAACTCCAAGAACAGATTCAACACTAAATTGTTTAGTCCATGACCCTTTCATAACCCATAAATCAAAAGACTAGTCAATTCCTTCTCTTGGGTAAAAAAAATAGCACCAAGCAATCCATTGAATTCCAAAAGTTGCAAATAGTTTTTTGCTAGAGTCCCACCAAATTCAAGAAATGGTAAAGTTGAAAACTTTTCACTAACCATATCAAATGAAAGAATAAGTGTACCACCAGAATCCACATCTGCCTGCCAATAATAAAACCCATTGATATAATTATTAAACAAAGTAGAACCATAAGCATGAACCCCAGGAACTGAAATTTCCTTCCATGAATTAGCTTTAAGCGAATATAAATCAACTTGATTGATCCAATGACTATAAATGCTCCTACCTTCTTCGTTTTCCCATGTAAAACAATTAGTAACAAATACTACAACTTTGAAGTCATCAGTTTGAGAACCATACCCAAAACCAAGACAATAAAAACTAGTGTAATCTAGTCCAGGAGGGCGTTGGACTATGGATTGACGAAGGATTTTAGACTCTCACGTAGATGGGTTCCAAAGGGCAACATTATGTCTAATATCTGGCTCTGGTAAACACAATATTCCATTACGATGACCATCAATTTCAGGTGCATACACAAAATTCTCGAAAAAGGGTAAGTGAATATTGTGTTTTACTCTAAATTTTTGGCCTATCTCGATCGAAAGTTGAGGGAAATAATGGATGTTATCACGGGTGTCACCGTGACAATGGTTGAGGAGGAGATTACGGTTATTGTTTTAGAGGTTGTTCTGATGATGTTTGGTAATGAAATGAGGGGTTTCAAAAGATGAAGGCCAGGGCTTACAAATACATCTGAAATGGATTAAGGATTTAATAGGAAGCTTTGAGAGAATCTCCAACACCAACATCTCTGGTAACTCGATTCAATTTTTTATCAACCCTAGCATCTTCTTCTTCCCTCCTCTTTATCTTCTCTACTTCCTCTGGTATCATTTTGACGCAACAATCGACTTATTCCTTTGAAACTGTCTTAACCTCCTGTAGGATATTACATACTCCTTTTCCTTGATTAAGCTCACATATTTTTTTACCCTTTAAACGAAATCACTGCCATCCGCCCAATGAATGAACCACTTCAAAGGTCTATGCACTTTTTCACAATTTCTTCCTTCAACACCACCGGTTTGTGATCAGACAGGCTTCTAGGCAACGTGGTCCCCAATAGTTGGGGAAACTTATTTAAAACTTCAGTGGATACAATAATTATATCCAATCTGCTTGAATTAGCATCACCACTTCCTCTAAACCATGTGAACTTGCTTCCAATTAGTGGTAGATTAACTAGATTGTTGTTCGAAATAAACTCCCCAAAACTTCTCATTACATTATTGTGGAAGCTTACTCTGATCCTTTCAGAATCTGATTTATCTATGTTGAAATTCCCTTTGACGATAACGGGGCCACTAATCTCAACAATTAACTTAGTAAGGTTCAAAAAGAAATATATCTGCTCCCCTAGATCGTTCGGCACATATACATTCGCCACTCCAGCTTCTAAATTAACATGAGAAAATAAATCCACTATGATCACCGTTCTTTTCTGCACAGTTTAGCAATAAAAAAGTTTGTATCCCATAATGACATTAACCCCCGAAGCCCCAATGAATGGTGCGAAGGCTAACTCTTCAAAATATCTTTCCATCAAATGTCTTGATGTCTAAGTATTAATGACTGACAATTTTGTTTCTTGCAATGAGGTAGATTTGACTCGAAAAACCGATTTTTTCGAGTCGGCTCGACTCGAATTGACTTCGAGTTGTAGTTTCATAAACTCGACTAAAAAATTTCAAGTTCTAATCGAGTTATAAAATACAACTTGAATAACTCAAAATTTTTAGTAATTAGTATATTAATTTTTGAGTTTGAGCGAAGTATGAATCGAGACCCTCGACTTTGTTTGGTATATGTAAATTAAATATAAAAAATACGAAAAAATATATATGTATTATATATAGCTATAAAATAACATTTAAATTTGAATAAAGTAATGGCATGATATTGTAAATATTTAGAATTAAATTAAAATAGAAACTTCAAAATTTGACTCGACTAGACTCGACAAGTCAACTCCGACTTATAAAATAGGACACGCGAACTCGATTAACTCAATTTTTTTATTTGACTCGATCGAACACTCCCGCATGCTTGCAAGAACACAAATCGTGTTTTACACGTTGAAATTACACGAGTTATAGACCTTACTTTTTCCTTTTTATCCATCCCTCTTACGTTCCATGATAAAAGTGAAAAAAATCATATCAAACAATTAAACAAAAAAAAAACACATACAAGGAATCAAAACTAACAAATATAATCACATTCTTTCAGCATCCTCAATTTCCTCGAATCTTCTTAGCAAGCTCTATTAAAAACCTCCCTAAACCTAGATGGAGGAAAAGAATACTCCTACAAAGAACAAAACAACACTACAAAGTAATCTCCATAGATAATACAATCGTCACAGAGTTTATACTAATTCTACAACAAGAGACCTAACCCGACTATTGAGGGCATAATACTAACCTAAGAAGTACCACCAAACAACATATTAACCCCGAAATTATGAGAAATAACAACCCTGGGGATACTTGACTATAACCACAAGTAGGATAAAACACATAAACTGAAGATTTCTTCTCACCGGTAGGGTTGAATTTGTTAGAATAGAAGAGGAAATTTTGTGAGAGAAAACATTGAGATTCAAGCAATGGAATCATCTGATTCTGAGGAGTTGGATATTACGTTAATTATTTTCAAGTTTCAGTCAGAAAGAAAAATCTGACACCAATTGAGAATGTGATGATTCCAGACTGTCAAACTCTCTAAACGTAAAAAGAAGTTGTAAAAGAAATTTGCAAGAAATTGTACGAGACTTCAAAAAGTTGTCAAAAGAAAATTTTGAACTATAAAACCTTATCACTTTGACGCAACAATTAACTTATTCAAAGAGCTATAAAAAGAATAGACAATTTGGTGTCTAAACATAAAGGAAAAATATCTATGGAGGCACCATCATATTATCAAAGGAGTCAAAGGATAAATAAAAAAGAAGAGAAAAAAACTAGCCATTAAGTTTATTTTCTTTATAAATTTTTATTTTTTTTCAATATTTTCATTTAAAAAACTTAAAGTGAACACGGCACTCCAATAGGCACTCCAATAGGATGAGTTCCTCTACATAGCCATTGAGATGACCATTTAATTTTTTTTTTAATTAAGGGGAATTCATCATTCTAGCAGGAGAAATTCCCACTGATATAATAGTTGGTTTTGATTATCATTTTTTCTTTATAATGGAGCTCTTGAATTATAAACCTCTTTTAAATATTGTATGATACTCGATGGGTTTGTAAACTATTCAGATGGAAGAAAAATTAAGATAGTAGTTGTTTCGATGGACACATTAAGTGCTTACATTAATTCAATCATCTCCGTAAACATATTTGTATTGGTAATAAAGTTTAAATAACAAAAAATAGATTACATTTGTGCCAAACCAAATAGACATAAATATTAGATTTTTTTAGGTGGAAATACAAATGCCAAACCATTTTTTTTTGTTTTTTTTTTTTTGCAGTCATGTGATGAATGATACAAGGCCTTTACCCACAATATCTCATTTCAGCAAAACCATTAAACCAATGTAAGGATGAGAACCAATTTGTACAGGCTACTCATAAACGTATGTATCCCGTGGGACATACGTACGAGCATGCGATCCTTTAAGGACCCTAAAACAACATTAAAATTCTATCGGAATACCCATATTCGACATGTTTGACACTCGTATATGAGCACAAACAACCTAAAACAATACCTATGTAAGAATGCAATCCATTTACCTCTAAAACAAATAACTTAGTTCCAGAATGAAAATCATATCACACAAAAAGGTCTAGAATTTCTACTCTTAAATTGGAAAAGCAAACATGCAAAATCAAGTAAACTCTCTATATGCACACACAGAAGCTCATGTGAACTATTATATATATGCAAAAAAAAAGAGAACAATTTACTGAAATATTCCACAAAGGAAACAAAACCAAACCATTGACGTTGTTTCATTAGATCTAAAGTACGGACAATAACACATGATCATAACAATTCCAACAATAATAGATCCTAGATTCAACTTCAAATGGCATTAAACAATCGGGGACATTGACTTCTATAAAGCAAAGTCAAGTAGGGAAAGCACTCCGAGCCTAGCATATATACGCACCTACAAATCATAATATGCAAGTCAATAGAACTGCAGATAAGAGTTAACAACTAAGCAAATATGTAGGGAGTAATTTTGCGCATTTATAAACAACAAAAATAAAACAGAAATCTAAATAAGTCAACATTATTTGAGAACATCACAA